GGGGGGGGGGGGGGGGGGGGGGGGGGGGGGGGGGGGGGGGGGGGGGGGGGGGCGTGTGCCCCATGGTGTTCATCGTTGCTTGCTGAGCTACTCTCCTATCTTCTTGTAAAATACACAAAACCCGTCATGTCATGTTGTGCAACAGGCTTTCGCCGGATTGAAAACCCCGAGCAATAACAGCGGTGCCGTAAAGGAGGCGCTGGAAAGCATCCGAGCGCGGTCCTATGCATCCCTCAACCCTCGCACGGGGGCGGTGCAGTCGGTGAGTCGCGAGTCACTACACACATACACGTGCATCGTGAACGTCAAGTGTGCGTTGTTGCTTTCCCGACGGACCATTTTTTTTTCGTCTGTTGGGTGGGATTTTCGCCTGCACAAATATATGCATACGCGAGATCTACCTGGTGGCTTTCTTCACAATTCGTGATTTGCTGCTTGCTCTACATGCAGGATAGCAGCCTGAAACCCACGGATAGTTTTTTTGTTTTGATACACCAGAGACTCACACTTTGCGTATTTCCTGTTTTCGACGACACAACAGAAGATAGGGTCTGCGTACAAGCGTACTCGTCCGCAACATCTAGTTCTGCACCAGCCAGTACCAGCTGGTGCTGTTAACAACCAGCGCGCGAAAGAGAAGCCGTGTGCCCCGAACCCTCTTCGTCGCCGTGAAGCCTCCACCCACGCACGCGGGAATGTAGCGGAGGCGGGGTATTCCACTCGCCGACAGGACCAACGGAACCACCGACAATGCTGCCGTCCCAACCGTTTCAGAGCGTGTTCATTTGTGTCCTTTCTATCTCCCTGTTCCTTGTTCATGCAGACGGAGGCAATAAATCCAGCGGCATTTTTTTGCTGTGCATACTTTGAAGAACCTCCTCAGAGCTCCTGTTAAAACGCGGCAACAGAAAGCTTATTTAGTTGAGTGTTTCGAAGCTTTCGCTGCCGCAACCTTTCGGCCGAGACCAACAAACAACGAACGAACATGTTTTCTTAGACAACGAACAAACATGTTTTCTTTTTATATGACGTGCTCACCTCTTCCTTTTTCTACTGCTATATCCATAAAAGCCATTCTAATGGTGGTGCTGCTGTAGGTGTACCGGTACCGCTTGTTAGCGACATCTTGATCAGGGAACCCACACACCCCGATAGCAGTCTCTTTTTCTCATACCACAGATATCACGCACCCTGGCGCATAATCACGCTTCACTCAGTCTCTTTCGGAAGTGTTTTTGGTCTCTGCAGCTCTCCAGTGTGTGGAGTGATTTCCTGTAAGTTGTGTGCAAACTAACATGCATAGTAATAGTTGCATACGGTCCAACACCATCGATCTCCTACTTGTCGCCCTCCCTGACTCTCTGAGGTGGACTGCTGTTGTTGCGGGGTAAATTTGACCAGGAGTGATGGACACATGCTCACAGAGAACCACTTGGGTCAGTCGCCAGGTATTGGGTGTAATATGTAGTCCCCTGCTGCTGTATCCCGCATAAAGGCGAACGACCGGAAAGTTTCGGCACACCCCTGGTGCCGGGTATAGCTTGGACGGCCCCATTGCGAATGTAGTTGCGTGTTGGATGAACATAGTGGGCGAGCGAGAATGCCAGCCGCATTTTCGTAGGACCACGCATGCATATGCATACGCTAGAAGGTTACGCATATTTTGGCACAGAGATCGGAACGGTTTTTCTGTTCTACTGCTGTCATGTGAACGCAACATTTTATGACCAAAGGGACAAATGCTTGTACGAAGGAGTACAGGATCGCACAAGATGGATGCAGGGTCCATTTGCGCACACCCGTTCCCGAACACTCTCTCGAGCAGCTTGACACGGCTCCATATTGCGGTACAGCAGTCAGCAGTCAAACCTCGGTTGAGGACACACATGATGTTTCCCTTTTGCATTTGTCCTTCACCGCGGAAGTGTCCTTAAGGTTCGGGGGACGGTAACTCAGTCCCCGGTGTCAACGGAGGCGTGCAATACCTCAAACGACAAACGACGCGCATTCACCTGGGGATAGGATCATGAACGGGCAGCATGGACAAGGTGGTGGGAAAAATATATCACCGAGCACAAGTACGGGGGGGGAGGGTGTACGTTTTTTGGCGTGAAGATCAAAGTAGGAGCCAACAAATGAATGAAAAGATTGTGTGGTAAGGACGGTGATACTCGGCGTTCTATGCATAAGTTCGTCCTGCTCTGTCTTACCCTATGCCGTGGGGCTCTTGTGCCTTTGTCCAACCTGTACCAGACAAACGTTGTTGTTGTTGTTGTTGTTGTTGTTGTTTCTCACATTAGCTATAATGTGCACAAAAAAATTGGGAGCCCGTGGTCTCAAAACCTAGCACATTCGACGCCGCGGGGAAACAAAACAAAAATAGGGCACAAACCACTCGGAACAAGAAAACAAAATTATTGAAAGAACAAAACTGGTACCGCACCGACCGTTCGAGAAAAGAGCCCTCGGAAACCGATCAAAATATAATATAACAAAAACAAATACCTACAAAGGAGGACGCTTCCCACACCCGCCTAAAGAAAACATCAAAGGGTAATTCTCCCTTCTTCCCCTCGCTCCTCGACAAGCTTTTGCTTAGACATGGGTTGTAGTGAAGGGGGGGGTCTTTCTGGCGAGCAGGGCTAGACTCACCCTCAAGGGATGACCGAAACCTTCTTGCCGCTGCGCATATCCGCCGCGAGGCATGCGCGTGGTGGTGTAGTTGGGTCGGCACTGATGGGGTCAGGCGAAAAAATGTAGATGCGCGGGCCTCTGGCCGTCGGCGTAGGCAGCGATGCCCATCTCATTTTTTGTGCGCGGAGGCAGACACC